TCAGCAGCTATGCATTGGCCATAGTGGAGTCCGGATGGAGAATGACAGTAGGGGGGCAATGATTCTCAGTGAGGTGGAGTAGACCAGGGTGAGACCAAAGGAAATCTGCATACATGGATGCCATGTCATAATTTATGAGCTTACAAAAGGCATGGGATTATTTACACCTCTCACTTCTTTTTATGGCCAAGGCATTTGCCTGTCTGCTGGAAGACAATCTGCAATAAATACAGTATATTATTATATACTAATATATTGAATTTAAGGTGATGCAAAATATATCCTTCTGGCTTTAAATTCGTCCATATATACTTCCACAGCAGTTGACAGGGACATGGGTGAAACATATTTATTAATGGGTGATTACTATATAATATAAATATATAGCTTTGTCTATATAAGGTAAATTACTCCAGTCACCGGTCAATGACTAACTTATGTCTGTTTCAATTTTTTTTATTTTATAGATAGATAGATACTATAGAAAATGGGTAGACAGACTGATATAGATAGAAAGGGAGAGAAAGACATTATAGTAATTGACAAACAGTATGTTTAACTTTAACAATTGCATTATATTACAGCTACAGATCAGAGAAAGAAAGAAAAAGAAAGAAAGAAAGGGAAAGATTTAGATAGATAGATAGATAGATAGATAGATAGATGTTAGATAGCTTTTTTTTAATTCACATACAATTTTATGAGAAGACACCAACTGTTTCCCCTGTAAAACTAGCAGCCTCTCGTGCATGTTCTCTGGGTTGCATAGTTAACACAGTGACAGCTAGACCTATCAAAGCTAGCAATAGGTAATGCAGAGGGGCAGACTAATGCCTTAGAATTGTTAAGTTATTTTTACTGAAAGTGTTGGGTTTCCGTGTACAGTTAAGGGAATGAAATCATTGCTTGATGGGAGTTCAGTTATGCTGAGAGAGCAGAATAGACCCTATATAAACTTGCCAGTCCATCCTTCACGTGTAGCCTATTGGTAAGTTGTGTCTTCTGTATACACTGACTGCATGGTGCTGAGCTGGATGGAGATATGGGATGGCTTTATTACACATACCACTCAATTTAATCATGTATTTTCTTTCTTTTAAAAGGGGAGTAGAAGATTTTTACCAAGAGCAGCACTAGAAGGTGAGTACACATCATGGAGCATTCCGCTTTATAGAGCCAACGAGTGATTGATCTTAAGCTCACAAAACATTTTACAATTCGACTGTACAATTGCCTTTAGATTTAGCAAGGATCTACTTCAACTATTTTATTTGTATCCAGTCAGGCAGGTCTATCAGTTTAGGTAGATCTAAAGACTTTACAGCTAATACACATACAATTGGGAAGACACGTAATTATAAAGAAAAGCTCTTTGACTACTAACTTTATTTTACACACACTCAATACAAAGACTACAACAAACAAATGAATTATTACTATACATAAAACATTTAAATGTTTCTTGTTTTTGTTCATAAACTTAATATGATAAATAGTTTTTTTTTAACAAAGGTTGAGTCCAAATTGATATTTCACCTTCAGGTGGATGCTGGAGAATTAAACATCTGAACGGTCTCTTCTATCTCTTGGAGACTCTCTTGGTATGATCTCTGAGCTAAGTCCCCAGGTCTGCACATGTGCTGTGACCATTATGAGGAGATCCCACTCTGCCTCTTGGTTTTCTAAATTATGAAAATTGTAGCATGAGCAGCTACAATACCCAGGAAGGCAGACACACCCCCAAAACTCCACAGTGAAGGGGAAATCCAGTCCAGAATTATGGCAGAAATATCCCAGTCAGGAATTATGGCAGGGAGATTTTAGTGTTAGGGTACTCAAGACATAAAAAAGGCTAGGAACCAACTGGACTTGTCAAACTCGACCTGAAATCTAAAGTGGAAGTAAAGGCAAAACCATACTAACTTTAAACCTCATTTCAGCCACAATCTAAGCCTAATCTATTTAGCCCTGCAATGAAAAAAATCACTATACTTATTCAATCAAAAGTCGTTCCAGTCCTAGGCTAAGCTGTCAGCAGAGACTTCAATGTGTAGGAGAGGTGGCCAACAATGAAAGCCTCATAGTAAGTCTATGGGTGATGTCACTTCCCATGCATTTCCCAGACGTTGTCAGTTTTCTCCTGTACACAGAGGGCACTGCTGGAGACTGGACTGGAGTGGCTGCAGAAAAGGTAATTATAGCAATTTTTTTCTTTACAGGGCTAGATAGATTAGGCTTAGAATGTGGCTGAGAGTAGGTTCAGAGTTAGTTAGGTTTTGCCTTTACTTCCACTTTAAATATCACATTCCCTTTAACAGCTCATAACAGTTCCACAAAAATATTCACCTCTCGCATTCCCCCCTTATATTAAAATATAAAGTGTCGTCACACCTTCTTAGAGAGAGGCACATGCTATGGGGAGGCATACCAGATTATAATTGTATTAGAAAATTAAAATATTATTCCACCATGCCGTAAATACACTACTTCAGCATGTGCTAGCATCTAGGCATTGAAGTATGGCATTTTAGTAGGCATTTTGCTTTATTTCCTCTATCACAGACTGCCTCAACCATGTCTTCAGACGCAGAAATGGCGGTTTTCGGAGTCGCCGCTCCCTTTCTGCGAAAACCTGAGAAGGAGAGAGTGGAGGCACAGAACAAACCATTTGATGCCAAGAACAGTTGCTTTGTGGATGATGCCAAAGAGCTCTACGTGAAGGGTTTAGTCACCGCTCGTGATAGTGGCAAAGTCACTGTCAAGACAGATGATGGAAGGGTAACCAATGAAATATCATTCACAAATGAACAATATATAACAAGTTACCATTGGACAACTCATCCAAGCATTGTGTTGTTTGCAGGATGTAACTGTCAAAGAAGAACAGGTGTACCCCCAGAACCCTCCCAAGTTCGATAAGATTGAAGACATGGCCATGATGACCCACCTGAACGAGGCTTCTGTGCTGTTTAACCTCAAAGAGCGTTACGCTGCCTGGATGATCTACGTAAGTTGGATTGATATGTTTATCATGTATTTAAGGCAAGGCAAAATAAGGCTTACAAAACCCCTTGAAGCTCAACTCTCTTTAACAATATCACTGAATTCCAATTTATCATGATAAAGAAAAATTTAGTTTTTAGTCAAGTTAAATGTTAGCAGGCATACATTATTATTAATATTATTATACAGGATTTATATAGCGCCAACAGTTTGCTCAGCGCTTTACAATATAACGGGAGACAATACAGCAACAATACAGTTCAATACAAGAGGGAAAGGAGGGCCCTGCTCCATGGAGCTTACAATCTAGGAACATTGAAAATGTCTTCTGATGTATAAACATTGTATTACTTATGAAACTTACAGACCTACTCTGGCCTGTTCTGTGTTACCGTGAACCCCTACAAGTGGCTGCCAGTGTACAACCCTGAAGTTGTTGGTGGCTACAGAGGAAAAAAGCGTCAGGAGGCCCCACCACACATCTTCTCCATCTCTGATAATGCCTATCAGTTTATGTTAACCGGTAATGTGCCTGTCATAAATAACTTGTGTTATTGAAGCATCCACCGTGTCATTTCTTCACAACAACTCACATGTGTATTTAATCTCTTTCAGACCGTGAAAACCAGTCTATCCTGATTACGTAAGTAAAATGTGAGATTGCACTTAGCTGTTGCAAATGTGCATTTAAATGATAGGTGTGGCTATTTACTGACATTTGTCAAATCTGTAACCAGCGGAGAATCTGGAGCTGGAAAGACTGTGAACACCAAGCGTGTCATTCAGTACTTTGCAACAATTGCAGCCCTTGGTGATGCAAGCAAGAAGAAGGAACAAAGTAACAGCTTGCAGGTGAGATTAGGGGAACTTCTATAACAGAATATATAATACTGTTCTTCATAAGGAGGGCTCAGAATTGTACACAACAAACTCTTTTAGACTCACAGTTACCTCTTTGTTACAATTCCATATAAGAATAACTTTGAAGTATTACTCTAACAATTTACAGGGCACACTGGAAGATCAAATTATCCAGGCCAACCCTCTACTGGAAGCCTTTGGTAATGCTAAAACTGTGAGAAATGACAACTCCTCCCGTTTTGTAAGTACCACCATTACTATGGCCACATGAGAATTCTCTACAAGTTGACATGTGTTGACATGGTTTCTTCACCATCTCCAGGGTAAATTCATCAGAATCCACTTCGGAACCACAGGAAAACTGTCTTCCGCAGATATTGAGACCTGTAAGATTTGCTTAATACTTTCATACTTATTTCTTAGGATACTTCATATGTTCCTTCAGTAAAAGGTAATCCTTTTCTTTACAGACTTGCTGGAGAAGTCCAGAGTCACATTCCAGCTTTCAGCTGAAAGAAGCTACCATATCTTCTATCAGATCCTGACTAATAAAAAGCCAGAACTGATTGGTAACTTCCAAAACTTTTCTACAAAGGATTAAAAAACTAGTAGTCAAATTATATTTTATCTAGATACATACTGTTGTACAGATGTGCTATTTACTAGATTGCTACAATATGTAACTTTTATCAATAATATTTATGTCTTTTAGAAACGCTTCTGCTAACCACAAACCCATACGACTACCCTTTCATCAGCCAGGGTGAGATTGCTGTCAAAAGTATTGATGATCAAGAGGAATTGATGGCTACAGATGTATGTGATCATACTAGAGGTTCTTTAGACATTTTAGGATACAACTTTACAAAACATGACACATTTTCATATATATTTGCAGAGTGCCATAGACATCCTGGGTTTCTCACCAGATGAAAAAATTGGCATCTACAAGTCGACTGGTGCTGTTATGCACCATGGTAACATGAAATTCAAGCAGAAGCAAAGAGAAGAGCAGGCTGAGCCTGATGGCACAGAAGGTAAGGTTTAAGGTTTTAAAATTTGATACATCCCAATTTTTGTGATTGCTCTGGACAAGCTCATTAATTGAGTTTTAATAAATCCACAAAATCTTCTAGTTGCTGATAAAATTGCCTACTTGATGGGACTGAATTCTGCTGATTTGCTGAAGGCTCTCTGCTACCCCAGGGTCAAAGTCGGCAATGAGTTTGTCACTAAAGGACAAACCGTCCAACAGGTAGCACATCGTTATCTAAAGTATTTTGATTTGTTTGAATATTTGATGGGGAAACAAGCTAATTGGCAGTCATTATCTGTAGGTAAACAATGCCGTTGGTGCCCTCAGCAAGTCTGTTTATGAGAAACTCTTCTTGTGGATGGTCATCCGTATTAACCAACAGCTGGATACCAAAATGCCAAGACAGTACTTTATTGGTGTACTGGATATTGCTGGATTTGAGATCTTTGATGTAAGTGTAAACAGAAATAAATAATATAACTTATTCTATATATAGCAAAATTAAAACGCTAATCTATACATCATAATCTGTAGTTCAACAGCTTGGAGCAACTTTGCATTAACTTCACCAATGAGAAACTGCAACAGTTCTTTAACCACCATATGTTTGTCCTGGAACAAGAGGAGTACAAGAAGGAAGGAATTGATTGGGAGTTTATTGACTTTGGTATGGATCTGGCTGCCTGTATTGAGCTTATTGAGAAGGTGAGTGTCTACATACTACATATTAGCAACTCAAAGTTATACGCTGATGTGAATTTTCAACTTTTTCTTTCTTTTCGTTCTTTTTTCTGCACAGCCAATGGGCATCTTCTCAATCCTGGAAGAGGAGTGCATGTTCCCCAAGGCTACTGACACTTCCTTCAAGAACAAGCTCTATGATCAACATCTGGGCAAGTGCAAGAACTTTGAGAAGCCCAAGCCTAGCAAAGGAAAAGCTGAAGCCCACTTCTCTCTGGTGCACTATGCTGGCACTGTGGATTACAACATCAGCGGCTGGCTGGACAAGAACAAGGACCCACTGAATGAGACTGTTGTTGGCCTCTACCAGAAGTCTTCAGTGAAGCTCCTTGCCTTACTTTACTCTTCTTACGCTGGTGCTGAGGGTAAGTAATCCCTGGACAATTTTATAATGTGACACTGCAATTTGCACACATTACATGAAATGGATTTAAACACTCACATATCATTTTCAGGTGACTCTGGTGGAAAGGGTGGAAAGAAAAAGAAGGGCTCCTCCTTTCAGACGGTGTCTGCCCTATTCAGAGTAAGTCATTTAAATGGAAACAATTATATTTTTCTTTAACTTTTTTGGGCAGTGACGATTATTATAAATGTAATCTTCCACAGGAAAATCTGAACAAGCTGATGACCAACCTGAGGAGTACTCATCCTCACTTTGTACGTTGTCTGATCCCCAATGAGACAAAGACACCAGGTAACTGACATTTGCAATATAAGGTAAAATGTAGTTTAAATGTGGAACCTTGTTTTTATCTATGTGTGTCACTCTCCACCAGGTACCATGGAGAATCATCTGATTATCCACCAGCTGAGGTGTAATGGTGTGCTGGAGGGTATCCGAATCTGCCGAAAGGGCTTCCCAAGCAGAATCCTCTATGGTGATTTCAAACAACGGTAAGCATTTTGCTTACTTTCTTTCTTTAATTCCAAACTCTTTCAGCATTATTACAAAATTTGGCCAAACTAATATTTTAACTCTTGGCCAACTTCAGGTACAAGATCCTGAATGCTAGTGCAATTCCAGATGGACAATTCATTGACAGTAAAAAGGCTTCTGAAAAACTCCTTGGCTCAATTGATGTGGACCACACCCAGTACAAGTTTGGACACACTAAGGTATAAAACAGCCTTGCTGGTGAATAAATTAATCTAGCTTTTTTAAAGTGGTTTAAATGAGATTTATTTTTCCACAGGTGTTCTTCAAAGCTGGTCTCTTGGGTACTCTGGAAGAAATGAGAGATGAAAAGTTGGCCCAACTCATCACTCGCACTCAGGCTCTGTGCAGAGGCTTCTTGATGAGAGTAGAATTCAAGAAGATGATGGATAGAAGGTATTGATGATACTGCATGGTGTAACACATTGCCTCTGATTTAGAAATTAAACCACACCTTTGCCTTAATTTTAATTAAATATACATATAGCTAAAATAAAAAAAAAGTTTTATTATCATCATTCAACCTATTAATTTACATTTATGCAAAACGGTGCACATGCAGCTAGATAAACAGTTTAGTATTGCTATTGTGTTTTACTATTATATAACCCAAAATAGGCTGTCTGACCTATCTGCACAAGCCTATCACTACTTTGCATTCTTTAAAATAGGGAAGCAGTCTACACCATCCAGTACAATGTGAGATCATTCATGAATGTCAAGCACTGGCCATGGATGAAGCTGTACTTCAAGATTAAGCCTCTCCTGAAGAGTGCTGAGACTGAAAAGGAGATGGCTAACATGAAAGAAGAGTTTGCAAAGACAAAGGAAGCACTGGCTAAATCAGAAGCAAAAAGGAAAGAACTGGAAGAGAAGATGGTTGCCCTTCTGCAGGAGAAGAATGACCTCCAGCTTCAAGTGCAGTCGGTAAAATACTTACAAAAAGGAGATACACTGAAATGGTAAATAATGTTGTCTTTGCACTTAAAATTACCTTATATTCTTTGCATGTAGGAAGGTGAGAGCTTAGCTGATGCAGAGGAAAGATGTGATGGCCTGATTAAGAACAAAATTCAGCTGGAAGCCAAAATCAAAGAGATCACAGAAAGGCTTGAAGATGAGGAGGAAAGCAATGCAGAGCTAACAGCCAAGAAGAGGAAACTGGAGGATGAATGCTCTGAACTGAAGAAGGACATTGATGACTTAGAGCTGACATTGGCCAAAGTTGAGAAAGAGAAACATGCAACAGAAAACAAGGTTGAGCACATTATAGTATTCCTTCAATGCCATGTTTCTAAACTGCACAGTAGCGGTATTTTGAATGTTTTCACTGTTCTTAGGTAAAAAACCTTACCGAGGAACTGGCAAATCTGGATGAGAACATTTCTAAGCTTACAAAGGAGAAAAAAGCTCTCCAAGAGGCTCATCAACAAACTCTTGATGATCTACAAGCAGAGGAGGATAAAGTCAACTCTCTTACTAAAGCAAAAACCAAGCTTGAACAACAAGTGGATGATGTGAGTACTTTAAATTTTATTTGTGCTTGATGTTTGATGTATAAGTGAAATGCAGACATATTCATTAAACTGAAAACACGTTTTTACCCAATCAGCTGGAAGGCTCTCTGGAGCAAGAAAAGAAACTTCGTCTTGATCTTGAGAGAGCCAAGAGGAAACTTGAAGGTGACCTGAAACTGACTCAGGAAACAGTCATGGATCTGGAAAATGAGAAACAACAAGCTGAAGAAAAACTCAAGAAGTTAGTAAGATTAAAAAAAAATAAAAAAAAAAGATGGCTGTAGTTTTGAAATATGTCACTAACAATTACTTAATTTGCCAACATAGGAAGGACTTTGAAATAAGCCAGCTGCAAGGGAGAATTGAAGATGAGCAGTCCCTGGGATCTCAGCTGCAGAAGAAGATCAAGGAGCTTCAGGTAATATTACATCACTAAAATGCAGACATATTGCTTCTGATAATCATTAACCATTAGCCGCCCGGCCAATGGCTGTTTGGCGGCTTCAAAAGTGTCTCTGCACTCCGGGTGCACGCCATTTGGCGTGCTCCCGCACATGCGCAGTTTACGCTAATGCAGAGCTTTGCGCTAATGCAGAGCGGCGCAGCAGTGCGATCTGTCACCGGCCGTGCACCTCAGACACGGCCGATGACAGATCCGAGTACCGGCTCCATGCTGGTACCATGTGATCTGCTGCGACCAATCACAGCAGGTCACATGACAGTTGTATACAATGGATGGCTTCATTCATGATGCCATCCATTGTATACTAGTGCCTAGCTGTGTATGGTCACAGCTAATCACATGCACATGTCATGTGATTAGCTGTGACCAAATCACAGCTAAGCACAAAAAAAAAAAAAAAAGCTGAATGAATCAATTTAATTCAGGTAAATGCTTGCTTATAGCAAACTAATTCTTTGCTATAAGCAAATTGTGTGAAAAAAAAAAAAAAAATAATACTGATCACTTCCCCAAAGTAGTACAATGTTACTATGGTAACATTGTACTACTTTGGTCATAGTAAAATATGAAAAAAAAATCTTAAAAAAAAAAAAAAAAAAATGTCATAAAAAATTAAATATAATAATAATAATAAAAAAAAAATATATATATATATTTTTTTTTCATACTGTCACCAGTCAGTGTCCCTGTTCACCGCCATGCCAGTTATATGATGACGCTGTACTGCACTGGTGACAGTATGTAAAAAAAAAAATAGTGAAAATAATTTAAATTTTTTCATTTTCTGAAAAATTATGACAAAAAAATACAACTTCAAAAAACTCGCCATGCCTCTTATGAAGTACGTCGGACTGTCTACTCTGCAAAAAGGGGTCATTTGGGGATATCTGTACTATTCTGACATTCTTGGACCTCAAGAAATTAGATTGGCTGTCAGTACTTCAGGATTGATCAATATTCAGATCTATACCATAGTTTGTGAACTCTATAACTTTCCTACAAACTAAAAAATACATCCTAATTTGGGTTATTTTCACCAAAGACATGTAGCAGAATACATCTCGGCCTAAATTTATGAAGAACAATTATTTATTTGTAAACTTTTATAACAGAAACAAAGAAAAAAAAATGTGTTTTTTTTTTTTTCCAAAACTTTTGGTCTTTTTTTGTTAATTTAGCAAAAAATAAAAACCCCAGCGGTGATTAAATACCACCAAAAGAAAGCTCTAGTCGTGTGAAGAAAATTATAAAATTTTAGTTTGGGTACAGTGTTGTATGACCGCGCAATTGTCATTCAAAGTGTGAGAGCGCTGAAACCTGAAAAATGGCCTGGGCAGGAAGGTGTAAAATTGCACGTATTGAAACGGTTAAAACTGCATATAATAACTGAAATGTCTCTTTTTAGGCCCGTATTGAAGAGCTTGAGGAAGAGATAGAAGCTGAGCGTGCTGCTCGTGCCAAAGTTGAGAAACAGAGAGCTGACTTGTCCAGAGAACTTGAAGAGATCAGTGAGAGACTTGAAGAAGCTGGTGGTGCCACCTCCGCTCAGATTGAGCTAAACAAGAAACGTGAGGCTGAGTTCCAGAAACTTAGGCGTGATCTGGAAGAATCCACCCTCCAGAATGAAGCCACCACTGCTGCCCTGCGCAAGAAGCACGCTGACAGTGTGGCTGAACTTGGAGAACAAGTCGACAATCTCCAGAGAGTTAAGCAGAAGCTGGAGAAGGAGAAGAGCGAACTCAAAATGGAAATTGATGACCTCGCCAGTAACTTGGAGAATGTCTCCAAAGCAAAAGTAAGGCAAACCTCAATGTTGGGTAAAATATGTTTTACAGTAATATTTCTAAGTTATTCAAAACATTGATATTGTTGTATTTGTTCTTTCAGGCCAACTTTGAGAAAGTGAATCGTGTTCTCGAGGATCAACTCAGTGAGCTGAAGTCTAAAAAATGATGAGCATACACGTGTAATCAATGACCTCACAGCTCAAAAAGCCCGCTTCCAGACTGAGAGTGGTAAAACTTCTTAATCAATATTAATGAGCACTACAAACATTCAGTACATTATATACGAAAAGAATAGTCATATACATTTAAATGGCACAGTGTATGTGTAAATACTATGTTTGGTTTTGTAGTTTTCAGTAATGATTACAATGTTTAATCTTTCTTATATTTGTAGTAATTGCATAATATTTCATATAAGGTGAATTTTCCCGCCAATTAGAGGAGAAAGAAATCTTTGATTTCTCAGCTGACCAGAGGAAAACAAGGCTTTACCCAGCAGGTTGAGGAACTTAAGAGGCAGCTTGAGGAGGAAACCAAGGTACATGAAAGAGTTAAAAAAGGCACATTCTACTTTAACCTAACTGTAGCTTACAAGTTGTCATACACTAAAATCCTACTGGTTGTACATAAATATTTTTG